GGAGCAGTTCCGGGGCGGTCCCGCCGTCACTGCCGCTTCCTCGGCGGGCGATTCGTAGGTGGTGTCGGAGGCCGCTGCCGGTCCCTCGTCAGGCAGGCGGGACACGATGGAGCTGTGCCCGGAGCTGGAGAACTCGCTGTCGCTGCTGGAGCCGGGCGGCGGCCGGCCCGAGCAGCAGCAGCGAGAGCGGCGGGCGGGCGCGGCCCCCATGCCCATGGTGTTCATGTGCTCCGGCTGCAGGCGGCCCGTGGGCGACACCACGAGCTGGGTGGTCAATGACGAGGAGAGCGGCTGCATCCTGCTGCGCAGTGAGTGCCAGCCCTGCTACCCCGGCGCGTCCCCGCGGTCACTGCCGCCATCCCTCCCTCCTTCCTTCCCTCCCTCCCGCTGCAGGTGCGGCCGGCAGCGTCGCCGTGGACCCGGAGCGGAAGATCTCCAAGCTCCCCGGCGAGTGCGGATGGTGAGCGCCGGTGCTGGCTGGGCACAGTCCCGGGGGAGTCGGGGGTTCCCGGGAAAGGCGCTGAGGACAAGGCCGGTAAAGGGCCCGGAGTGCTCGTATGCCCCCGAGAGCCCCTGGAACTCTTCTTTGGGGTGGTCTGTGCAAGCGGCTTATAGCCTAAGGGAGAGGGACTTCTCACAAGGACGTGTCGTGACAGACAAGGGGAATGGCCTTAGGATGAAGGAAGGCGGGTTTAGATGAAATATCAGGAAGAAATCCTTCCCTGTGAGGGTGCAGAGGTCCTGGCACAGGTTGCCCAGAGAAGCTGTGGCTGCCCCTGGATCCCTGGAAGTGTCCAAGGCCGGGTTGAACAGAGTTTGGAGCACCCTGGGACAGTGGGAGGTGTTCCCGCCTGTGGCACGGGGTGGAATGGGATGAGCTTTAAGGTCCCTTCCACAATTTAGTGATTCTCATGGTCTTGCTGAGGTCAGTCAGCCTGAGGGACTGTTGCAAACTCAGGCTGAAAGATGAATGCTCATAACTTACACTGCACAAGCAAGAATGAATGCTTAAAAAAATTGTAATGCATGATTATTTTTAGAAAATGGATGGAGAGAGGTGCTTCCTTTTATTTTCTTCTGAAGAAATGTTATTTCTTACTTACAGCGTGGTAGAAACATTGTTCTGCTCTGGCTGCTCGAGGACACTTGGCAGCATCTACAGGTGCACCCCAAGGCATCTCGACTACAAAAGAGATTTGTTTTGTTTCAGTATCGACTCTATTGAAAGGTAAATGCGGAATGTTTATGGGTCAGCCTGCCAGCTTCACTTCATGCACCAGGCATCGAACTCAGGCCACTCCTCAAAGTCTAGAGGTGGTTTTTTTCCGCTGTTCTGTCCCAGAGTGGTTTTCTGTATTGCTGCTGTTGTTATCATAGTGCTCACTTGTGAGGAAAATCACCTGTGTAAGGCAAATCCTAGGAAAAAAAAGCAAAGCAAAACAAAACAACCGGGTCTGCCTTTTGTATGAGAAATTGCATTCCAGCCACGAAAATATCACCGGGTCCAGGGCACAGGAGGATTCCTTCTCATTTGATTGGAAGAGCAGAGAAACCAAGTTCCAAGTAGGCCTGGAACTTGGAGTTAGCAGTTAGTTAGTTAGGAGTCAGCATTATCAGCAGGAAGTGTGGCCAGAGGGGCTCGGGCAGAACTTGGCGTGGCTCTGACCTGTACTGGCCACATCTGCTCTGTCCTTGCTAAGGTGGGTGAAGGCAAATCTGAGAACTGAGTCTGTGCTTGAGACTCTCACTCAGCTGTCTTAAAATCTGCCTAGAAAATGAAAGCATGCTTGGGTTTAGTTGGCTTATAGCACTTTAAAGTGGTCTTAAAGTATTCTTCAGTAACTATATCCTGAATTAAGGCCCCATGCCAGAGTTCTTTTATGCAAGCATTGTTCTAATAGACAGTGATTGTTCATCTGGACTAGTTTTACTGTCTCTTTTTTTAATGTCTTCTGGTTTTTTTTGAAGTTCCCATTCATTTTGCTGTATTGCTGTAAATGTGCACCCTTGCACTCTGTGCAACTTTTCTTTAAAAACACTTTTTTCTGTTTCTCTGTTTCTGCTGTATCGCTTCTGTATTTTTCTGTCTCTTCCCAGATGTCTTAGCCTCCTTTGGACTGAATTCTTTTGAGATCCTCCCTCGTGGGGAGCCCTGCTTATCTCAGTTCTTTTGATTTGAAGAAAATTCTCAAGCTCGTTAGAATCTTGTTTCTCGTGTTTATTAAAAGGTCATCACAAAACTTGACAGGTCTCTCCAGGCTGGCTGCACAAGGTTAATCTTTGCAATCTGGTACATTTATTTCTTCTGATGGTACAAACAAGGCCTTGTGGCACACTTTGTGTCTGATGCACAAAATGGCCCCGAAATACGCAGTTCTTTTATCTTTATACCTATTTTTACCCAATTAACAACAGACACGTGTATTATTTTTCTTAATGCCCCAATGACCCATCACCTCTGTGCTGCACTGTGGCATTCTCTATCTAATCACTCACTACTACCCAAAAACCTCTATGAGAAGAACATGAAGAAGAAAGAAGAAGGGACAAGAGACAGCACCGTAAATCCTCCATCCTGTCTCCTGTTCTCTAAACTAACTTTTTCACCCAGTGATTTAAGAAAACTCTCTAATCTACACACTTACACCTTTAGCTTTTTCCATCTAACTTTAACATTTGTTCTCATATATCACCATGAAAACATGCTCATGAATTTCATATTATATAAAATTCAGTGTTTTTCTGGATCTTATAACTAAGTATCAGGAACAAGGGCACATGCTCTGTATTTCAGACTCCAACACTCTGGACAGTGGTTTTGGGGTATTTTCTTCATTCCACAGCTATGATACTTTGTTTTTTCCATGGTAGTAAAATTCTCTAAAGCACTAACCTGGTTGCAGCCTATAGCACTTTCTTGGAGAGTAATGCTGGTTCTCCCAGCCAGCACTGCAGTGTTCTTGGTGTCTGTGCAATTTTTCACTGTATCCTGTAGCCCCAGAATCCATGGCTGTCTCTCAGGGTTCTGGAGGAGTGCCATGTTTGGATTTTTGTGGGAAGTGCATGATCTGAACTGTGGCATCTCAGCTATATTTTAGGAAGCCCAGAGAAGCAAGCTGATCTTCACGAGGAACCGCTTTCTCTTGAAAGTCGAGCTGTCTTGCAAGAGGTGCTGCAAAAGGTGAGATTTAACCTTATATCATTCTTTGTTTAAATTACCTCTGTAAAACCTTAATATGCTTCAATAGTTTCTGCAGAACAGCTTATTTCACCCATAGCAATTCAGTGCATTGTAACATGTCCTGGACTGCTTCATGTCACTGGTATCTTGTGTTACACAAGATTTTCAGTAACTTTCCCTTCAATTTTCATGGTAATTAGCATTTTCTGTTTATCAAGCACAACATTAGGTTCCTATTTATGTCTCAGTAATTTGATATATTGTTTCTAGCTAGTTCTGATTCACTTCTCCGCATCTTCAGTTCACTTTTAGTCATGTTTCTTCTGCCTTTTATGGAAATGGACTAAATGCTTTTGCTGTAATTTTGTCTTGAAATACTACATCATAAATCAGGTTGATGTTTTGCTCTCCTAAAATCTTGAGACTGCAGGTAGGAAGAGTTGGGACAAAATAGGGTAAGGAAGCTGAAGGCTGTCCAGCAAACGCTGAGAGTGTGGCTTTGACGCTTACCAAGGCTGGCAAAAGTTATTGTGTGGACAGTGAATGTTAGAGCTGGGTAAGCTTTCAAAGGATGAAAGTAGCAGGGAAAGAATCATATGAAAAGAATTGGTGATGTGAGATCAGATTTGAGCCCTTTCTGACGTCCACACATGCTCTTTGTGTTGTCAAATTCTGTGTGTAACCAAGTGCCTTTCCCTGGTTCTTTTGCAGGTAGATATGATACTGAATGCTCTGGAGACAAGACTGACCACGATTGAGTCCCGTGTGGCTACTCTGCACAGGCAGGTCTGAGAGGAAATACATCTTGAACTATGGGAGAAAGGCAAACGTGAAACTTGGCCCTGTAATCCTCTGGGATCTGTGGGAACATTTCAAAGGCTGTGAGAGAGCTGAAAGCCGTGGGTGGCCTGTCCTGTGGGGGAGCAGTGCTGACTGAGGCTGTCTCCCAGCCAAGGAGATCCTCTTCTGTCCCTGAAGATGATACAACAGGGGTTTTCTTCTTAATAAAGTCTTCTGACCAGTCCTGTAGACTTGTGGTTTAATAGAAAGGTTTATTTAAATTTTTGTCTCTGAAACCAAAGCATTTATCTCCTGCCTTCCCTGCTATTCAGTATCTACTAAACTGGGTATGCATTTTCCTAAGCAAATCAAAAACCTCCCTGTGATTCCGTAATTTCCAAAAGAACAGCATGAAGTCACTTTTCTTTTTCTTGTCTCCATAGCTTTAGCTTGATTTGTGCTCAAAGACAGGAACGACTCAATAACCATATGTGGTGAATTGTTAGTTTGGTGGGGGGTTGTTGCAAGTTCAGGGCTAAAATATGTAAGAAAAGGCTTTTTTTGTGCTGGTGTTGAAGGTCAGTTGTTTTACAGCTCCAAAGGGAGGAAACTAAACCAGGCTGATGGCGACACTCCTTTAAGCAAGGCTTGCTATATATTTGAGCAATTAATTCAGCAGTTTTGTTGTGTTAATGCTGGTATTTCAGTTGTGTTTGGTTTTCTGGGCATTTGACTAATTCAGTGTTTCTCATACAGTATGAGTGTTGCACCTAGTGTTTTTCAATAAAAGCAAGCAGTTGTGGTATAAAGCAAGAATAATCTCCAAAAGTGATTCAGGTTTTGGTTTTGTTTTGTTTTTTTTCCTTTGTTACCCAACACTACTTGGCTTTACTACTGTGAGCTTTAAAAAGTTTTCTCCAAAAACTCTGAATTAATTTCCTCATTCTACCCCATTGGTAGGCACTGCTTCTCTTGGAAAAGCTTCTGCCCTCCACCTTCACTGCCCTGTTTTGAAGTAGTGCTCCAGTTCAGCCTGTTGTCATGGGTCTTACATCCTTTTCTGTACAGGTAACTGAAACATTTTGTTATTGACAGACCTGCCAGAGGAGCTTCCATTACTGCAGTGTCATTTGTGGGGCAGTTTCTGCTCTAACAAGTTTTTGAATGCTGCTTAAGAGCAATAGACCTCATTCTGGATGTCTGAAGGTGAGAGAAAAGATGGTTGCATCCTGGGAGCCTGATTTTGGAATGTTTTATGGAATTGGATGAATAGCTTTTTCTTCTAAGGTTTCTGTAGTCTGTCCATGGCAGGTCCAGCCTGTGCTTCAACTTGGAGCCCTTAGTCTGCAGGGAAATTAACCTTTGGGGAAGTTCTTACAGCTCTGCTTAATGATTTATGAATTATGCTGATTTTCTGGAAGTAGGCTGTCCGTTCCGACCCATTTTCTTCTCTCTCCCTGAAGACTGTACCTGCTGAAAGGCTGAGGTGAGACCAAGATATCTGACTGTGTCTTCCTGAGGCTGAAGCCTCAGTGTTTACAGTCAATGATGAAATAGTGGAAGATGCTAAAGACTGAAAACTTTGGGATTTTTGCCTTGAATCCCCAGATTCTCTCTGCAGCTGTGCCCTGTATATCTCTTAAAAGAGTTTCTGGGTTTAGAAAGGTTTTTACATTCTGCAATATTTACCTATAACTCAATTAAAAAGAATCCTACTATATCAACGTGGTGTTAATGACTTTGTTGGAGTTGGTTAATTAAAGCAAATCATTGATAAAGGGTTTGAGCATCCCTTGGTTGGAGCTGGCAGCTCTTATTTAATTTCTCCTCATTCCTTTTATTTCTTTCAATTGTTTCTTCAGCAATCACTGCAATTGGGATAGCCAATAAGGACAACAGCATTTCTGCCCAGCTCTACTGGCAAATCCAAGCCCAGTTCCTTGGAGAGATTGAGGGGATGGGGAGCTGAGCCTTGGGCTGGGTTTTCACAGTGGGAGTTTGGTGAAGAAGAGATCCCACCAAAAGTGGTTGAGGCCAGTTCTGCTGGCTTTGGGTGCTTGTACCCCCCCCAAAAATAATCCTGCTTAAAGGGGACTTGAAGAAGCAGTGGGATCTGCCAGGGGGCCTGTGCTGAGACTCCCAAAGCCTGGTCGGGGATGCTGGGAAGTGTCAGCTCTAGAGGAACAACACAGAGAGGCTGTGCTGGGACCCCTCAAATTCCATCCATCCCTGCTAGACCTTTGGGACACTACTGAGAGGCTCCACTGCCTGATGCAGAGAATTTTCCCTTTCTTTTCTGTCATGCTTAGCACTTGGCAGGTCATTATAACCCCGCAGGTTGAAAACTTCATCGGAGCAGCTGCAGTCACAGACGATCACACAGAAGCCAGTCTGGGAGAGGAAATGAGCTGTTCCATAGATTTATTTTTCCCAGTGCGTTTTGAATTTATACCAGAATCTCTCCACTCCCCTCAGATCCTGTATCCTTGAGTTCTGAGTTTTCTCATAAAGAATTTTCTGCCTACGCTGGAACAATGATGAAATCAAATGTAAAGAAAAAATCGAAATGTATAAAATGATGGACGTTAGTGCACACGGATACAGAGTTTCTGCTTTTGAGCTCCGCAGATATTTTTTTTCTTTCCTCTTTCCCGTCTCGTGTGAGCTGCCTTTGAGTCAGTTATGTTATGTTGAGCTCTTGTGGGCACAGAGCGGTACTGCCGCTGTGCCCCGAGCGGGGCCCTGCCCCGCTCCGCTGGGTGACAGGGGGGAGGCGGCAGCGGGAGCAGCAGCAGTTCCGCGGCTGCCGAGCCTGGGGAGGGAGTGAGCGGGGCGGTGTCTGTAAATAGCAGGGAGGGGTGAAATAGCGTTAAGTGTGTCAAGTGACACGGCCGGGAGCTGGGACACGGCGCTAAAAGGAGCAGCGGCCGTGCAGGCCGGCGGCTAAGAATAGCAGCAGTGGCAGGCGGCAGATCAGTTTCAGCTTCACGGACGGACTGCGGGAAGAAGGACGGTGAGCAGCGGACACGCAGCAGGAGAGGGGCGGGCACTTAGGTATTTTGCTAAGGTGTTTACCTCGGCCAGCACCTAATCGGGCAGTCCAAGTCCCCGCAGAAGAGGAACGCTGCGAGGGAAGAGGCGCTCAGAGCCCGCAGCGAGCTGTGCACGCCCTCCCCACCGCCGCTCCCTGCTCCGCGCTGCCATCGCAGCTTTGCGAGCTGGCACCACACCCGGGCGAGCTGGCGGCTACGCCCCTCCCCGCCCCCTGCCCCGAGTGCCGCTGGGGCGCTCCGATAGAGGCTCTGCGGGGGCCTTTTAGGCGGGACCTGGGCAATAGCGAGGGCCGGAGAAGGGGACGGGAGTCTGGCGAGCGGGGCCCAGGGCGACCGCGGACCCTGCGAACACCCCTGGCTCCGCCCAACTGAGCACCTCGCGCTCCCATGGGCCGCAGCCTCAAAGCTTCCGCCAATCCCGGCCCGCCTTGCTCCGCGCTGGCCAATCACAGCCACCCTTTGAATCCAGGCGCGGTCCCGCCAAGCTCAGCCCGCTCAGTCGCGGCCCGGTCCCGCTCCCCCGTTCTGCTGGGGTACCGCTCCGGCCGCTGTTGCTTTGGGAGCCGGCGGAGCCGAGCTGCCGCAGCC